GAACAATTCCCAACACTGTGGGTGGTGCACAACTGTCTTCTGGGGTGTCTTTTTTGCATGTCTCCAGGTGCCAACTCTCCAGATGTAAACACTGTGTAGGAACTTAAGGGACTTTTAATCACTCTGACATCTCTTGGTGGGACATCACAGCTGGCCATAAGCAATCCAGGAGATTCCTGGAATGCACTGATGAATCCACTGATGATAATTTTATTCTCCAAGTGACAGAAGAGCCAATGAGAGAGGTTCTATGATGGACCTTGTTTTTACCAACAGGGAAGGTCTTGTGGAGAATGTGGAGCTCAAAGGCAGTCTTGGCTGCAGTGATTATGAAATGGTGGAGTTTAAGATCCTTAAAGCAGTGAGAAGGGCACCAGGCAAGCTCACTTCTCTGGACTTTGTGAGAGCAGGCTTTGACCTTTTCAAGGATCTGCTTGGTAGAGTACTGTGGGATAAATCTGTGGAAGGAAGACACACCCAATCAAGGTGGTTAATATTCAAGGATCCCAGCAAAGAAGGCAAGAGGTCAGGAAAATACATCAAGAGACATGAATAGATGAACACAGAGCTCCTGGCCAAATTCAGAACAAAAAAAAATCTACCAGAGGGTAGAAGCAAGGACAGATATCATGGGATACAAAAACTTTGTCCAAAAAGTCCAAGAGCTACTAATCAAGTTGAGGAAATTGAAGACCAGGTTGAATTGAATTTGTCCAAGGGCATCAAGGGCAACAGGAAGGGCTTCTGTAAGTATCTCAGTAATAAAAGGAGGAATCGGGGAAATGTGGGCCCTTTCCTGAAGGAAACAGTAGACCTGGTTACCTGGGACAATGAAATGGTCAAAGTACTGAATGCTTTCTTTGCCTAAGTTTTTAACAGCAGAACTGGTCTTCAGGAATCCCAGGTCCCAAAGCCCAGGCTGAATGGTGGAAGAGGACTAGGTCAGGGAATACTTAAAACTGAAAATTTACAAGTCTATGGACCTTTATGGGATGTATTCATGAGTCCTGACGGAACTAGTTGGTGTGATTTCAAGGCTACTTTTTATTATCTTTACTCGATGGCAAGTGAGAGAGTTGCTCAAAGACTGGAGGAAAGCAAATACCACTCCTATCTTTAAAAAGAACAAGAAAAGAACAAGGGAATACACCTTGATGCTTGGGAAGGTGATGGAATAGCTAATCCTGGAAATCATTTCCAAGTACTTGAAAGAGAAGAAAATAATTGAAAGTTGCCAGCATAAATTCACCAAGGGGAAGTCATTCCTGACCAGTCTGAAAACCTTTTGTAATGAAATGGATAGATGAGCCTGACATATGAGGGAAAAGCAGTGATTATTGTCTTCCTGGACTTAATTAACTCTTTTGGCATTGCACCCCATAAGTTCATCATAATGAAGCTGTTGAAGTATGGGCTGGATGAGCAGACAGTGGGATGAATCAAAAAGCTGGACCCAGAGGGCAGTTGTCAGTGTATCCCAGGGATCAGTACTGGGTCAAATCCTGTTTAACTTTTTCATTAGTGATCTGGATGATAGTAAATAATTTTTTTTTTTTTTAAAGTTAAAAAAAATGCAGAACAAAACTGAAGGGAATGACTGACTCATCAGTTGTTCATGCTGTCACACCTAGAGACCTTGACAGATAGAGAGGTCAGCTGGCAAACACAAATACAGCCTCTGATACTAAATTTTGTGGAACTAGACTTTTAGAAAAATGTGAAATTATTCTCATCCTTCACATGTTTTAGAGGTAATGCAATTTTTTTTCCCATCTTCAGAAAAGCCAAAGAATGAAAAAGGCCCATTATATTTTTTGGTTGTATACGTATTTTTTTAAGTTCTTTATTAACTTAACACAAAACTTTTAATGTGAAGAAACTACAATGCTTGTGTTCATTATTTTGTTCCTGTTACTTTAAGACTCTCCTTTCAACTTCATCTGAAGCAGTTTCATTTCTAAAGAATGCCACTTTTCCGTGCTGCAAAAAATTACAGCATTGTGTTTTGATTATAGAGCATTTAATTTTAACACTGAGTAATCAGAGCTGACCCCTTATCAGAAAGAAATGCTTTTGATGAAATTACATCTTTCTCCAAGGAAGAATATTTTTTTCCAAAACATAAATTACATTCGGGTATTAAATAGGTACTGGGAGTTTATAACTGCTTTTCTTCATGTTACAGCATCATGACTGGCAGCAAACAAGAAAAACACATTTTTGCACTTTCAGCTTTTGCCAGTAAGTTGGTACAGTGGAATCTGGTTTTCTCTACTGGTCTTTCAAAGTGAAGATTTCTCTCCCAGGCCGCTATTGCTCTGCACTGCAGCTGCCCATAAAACTGGCCATACATTATAAAAATTTAAGGTCAGTCTAGCACCATGAAATTCAGAAAGAACAATCAGTAAAAACTCCGTAAGGAAAGACAGAAAAACAGGCTGACAAGTATAGTCCTAATTCTTTCATATAATTTAGGTTTCCCTTAGTCAGAGGACACAGTTGCACTTGAGTGATTGCTTTTGTTCCATAGATTCTGATCCCTGGATGTTTATTCAATAAGTTCACAAGCTACAGAATCCACCAGCCATGAAATGATACTTGAAGTGAGAAGGAGTTGCAGATGACTGGTGGATTACTGTGATCTGTGTGGTCTTTATACTGCTTTTCTCCTCTGTCTGGCAAAGGAAAGTCCTGTGTGCAGACAAAAGATGCTGGGGAACACCTGAAGACATTAGGTGTAACCTGGGAGAAACACTTGCTACGTGTGTCATTTCCGCTGCAGTGCTGGCTGTGTTGGATCTTCTTTTCCAGCACTGAGCTCTGTGGCTGCGAGCCAATCAGACGTTTCCTTAGCCTCAGATCACACCATTTGTCTTGAACGTCTCTTCCATGAAGTCTGATTTGACTGGCATTTGACTAGGTATAAAAATCGTAAGATGTCATTAATGAACATTTTGCCTTGGAAGAACTGATTTAGAGTATCACTTGATATTTTTTAAGTTACTGGCTTCAGTTTTACAGAATGTTATCCTAAATATGAATGATGATGGAGAAAAGAACCAAAAATATTGCCTTTGTTCAGAAATGTTTAGAAGTTTCTTGTCAAAACGCAAAGCATCTGAAGTCAGAAAGTCGTGACAGCAGCAAGGATTTTTCTGTGCTTCACTTGTGAATATTTGGGCCCTTCTTTATGGGAGAAATGAAAAGAGCAAATTGTGAAAAAGACATTTACTTCATGTCTGCTCAGCTGTTCTGTACTATTGATAATGAGAAAATACTGGATACTTTGTACCAACACAATTCTTTGATCCTTTTGAAATCATACCTAATTTTCTTTTCAGAGAGGCCTGTGCCTGCCAAATGTTTTGCTCACATTTGCAGGATTTTAAATTGGTTAGTCAATTTATACTTCTTATATGCTGAGAGCAATCTTAATTCCTCTATTAAAATTTAAGCAGAAGTAAGGGAGTGGCTCTAACACAGCAAGAATCTTGAAGCTGACAGCTGCTTCAGCAAACCTGAGTGCCCTTCCCTTCCTCATGGAGGTCAAATGCTTCTGCTGTAGCTGAAGTAATTTCAGTAATGATGAAGGCAGCTTGAATATATCTTTGTTGCTGTAGATTTACATATGACAGTTAGAACTGATTTTGGTTTTGTCATCTATCACTATTATCTCAAAAATTTCAATGCAAGGACTTCTGCATATACCACTAAAAACCGAGAATTGCTGAAATGTATGAGGGCTGAAGAGTGATAAGAGCTAGAGATACAGGAATTATTTTCCTTGGACATGCCTCCAAACTAGAAGATGGAAAGAAAACCTGAGTCACTGTGGGAGTAGAAATACTACAGCACTGCTCTCCCCAGCCTCATTCACTCAGGCATATTCTTACTCCCCTATTAAATTTAAAAATTTGAATACAAAGTCATGAAATGGAATTCCGGTTATTCACATAAAATCTTACTTCCATGCCTTTACTTCTCATTTAGAGCAGTGAATTTCAGGAATCCATTATGCTTGCAGGCATAGGAATGTTTCTCTCCAGACAGGATGTGTCAGCTTTATTTTAATTCATGTAGAGTTTGGTATGCCAATCAGTGTCTTAAGAAGGTTTATTTTTACTGAGAGGTCTTACCTCATCTCAATCTGTCTAGAATTGTCATTTTTATTTCAGTCTGCCTGTCTGTCTTAACCACTTTGCTCTACATTGTTGATAATTAGCTTTTCCTGAGAATGAGGTCTTGCCTCATCCGTATTATTTTATTATAAAATGTTGCAGATGGAATTTCAAAATTATTTCAGATGATCATAGAATCACAGAACGGCTTGGGTGGAAAAGGACAACAGTGATCATCTAGTTTCAATGCCCTTGCTATTTGCAGGGTCATCAACCACCAGACCAGGCTGCCCAGAGCTTGGCCTTGAATGCCTCCAGGGATGGGGCATCCACAACCTCCTCAGGCAACCTGTTCCAGTGTGTCACCACCCTCTGTGTGAAAAACTTCCTCCTAATACCTAAACGTCTGCTTAGTTAAAACCCATTCCCCCTTGTACGAGCACTATTCACCCTCAAAAACAGTCGTTCCCTCTCCTGTTCAAAAGCTCTCTTCAGGTTCTGGATGACAGCCTTCAGCATCAGATTTAATAGATAAGAGAAAGGATAGGATTAAGAATAGTAGAATACCATTCAGAAACTGACTTAACACAGCTGGTATTGTCTTTGCCAGGCCCACGGTTCCATGGTCCCAAATTCTCTCCTGTATTTGTTTCTGAATGATCTCAGCATCTGACCATCTTGTCTTGAGAGTACTGTCTGTCCACTGGGCTGTATTTAAGGGACAGCTTTAGAGATGGTAATTTGGGTGTCTTCGAAAAAAGAAAAGCGGAACATTTGCAATGGTGTGAATATTACAGAATATGAGGCACCACACACAACAGATCTCTTGATCAGCCAGCCTGTTGAAAGGGTGACTGACAATGTGTTATCTTTTCCCTACAGTATGGGATAAAGAAGAAGGAGGAAAAAGAAGCAGAGGCCCAGGCTGCACTGGAAGCTAATGCTGAAGGAAGCCTGACTCGTCCAAAGAAGGCTATTCCTCCTGGCTGTGGGGAGGAGGAGGAGGAGGAAGAAGAGAGCATTCTAGACACAGTCATCAAATACCTACCAGGTCCCCTGCAGGACATGTTCAAGAAGTAATAACTGCAGACTGCTAGATGGGCATAAACAGTACTGCAAAGGATTTCTCTTTTGCCCAATGGGGATTTACAATCTTGCCATCCATCACGCACCTCTGCCCTCTAATGCTCACTAGGAGTCCTTTTGCTTCCCATTCTCCACTGTCTCTTCCCTTTGCCTCTACCCCAAGACTCATCAGTCCTTTTTTTTGTACATAGTCACATCCAGTAGATGCCTCTGAATGGATGTACAGATTAAAAAGCTGCAGACTACACAACTTTTATTATAAGCCATAGTATTATGTATGTTAAATAAGGCAACTGTACATTAAGCATAGAAAAGGAACAACCTCACATGTATTTTGACCCAAAGCAAGAAGTGCTCACTCAGTGTGAACAGTATCCTTTTTAGTTTTATTTAATTATTATTACTGATAATAATTATTAATTATTTTTATTAACGTTCTTGTTGATTGGGTCACACTAGCCATTTGTTGTTGAGTACATCTACCCTTGGAAGGAATATCTCAGTTCTCCCATGGAAGCAGAGCTTTTCAGTTTTAATTCCATCACTGGCATAAATAAAAAATCATTTGGAAGCTAAATCATGCATGACTTACACAGCTGACATCACTCAGAATGATAGAAGAAGTGAGTCATCTGCCCTCAGATGCTGATAGAAGTTAAATGCCTCAGAATCTAAGCAAGAGTCATGTCACTTTGGTAATTAGCCATACACTTAACTTGGAAGAGCAGATTTGGTCTGACAGGTGCCATATAGAGAGCCAGAACTACAGTAGGGTGTGTGGTACTATTAGAGGACCTTTCCACTCCTAGGAAGTCAGAGACCAAGAATGTTGGCCTCTGATTAACTACACTTCCTCTTTCTGCCCAGTGCCATATTTGACAATCTCGTTCCCAGCAGTGCTTGCAGGAAAGGCATTTGATCTCCAGTAAATTGTCATTACTGTATTCTACCCATCCTTCAATGCAGTTGTGGGAGAAAGTGAAAGTTAGACAAGACACTGGAGAGCCAGAAATTCTAAGTTTCCTACATTTCCTGCTAAGTTGCTCTGCTGCCTTGGAGAGATAATTCATTTTTCTGATTCAGCTCCTTCAGCTGTTCACAGAATCACAGAATCACAGAATTGTAGGGGTTGAAAGGAACCTCCAGAGATCATCGAGTCCAACCCCCCTGCCAAAGCAGGTTCCCTATAGCAGGTCGCACAGGTAGGCATCCAGGCAGGTCTTGAACATCTCCAGAGAAGGAGACTCCACAACCCCCCTGGGCAGCCTGTTCCAGTGCTCCGTCACCTCACTGTAAAGAAGTCCTTGCGCACATTTATGCGGAACTTCCTATGCTGCAGTTTCCAGCCGTTTCCCCTTGTCCTGTCTCCACTCACCACTGAAAACAGTCTGGCCTCGCCATTCTGCCCCCCACACCTTAGATATTTATAGACCTGGATCAGGTCCCCTCTCAGTCTCCTTTTCTCAAGGCTGAACAGACCCAGATCACTCAGCCTTTCCTCATAGGAGAGAGGCTGTTAAACTGAGCTTTCAGTCTACACCTACTGTAAAAGGATGTAGTAAGGATGGATTGCACAGTTCTTTTCCAGTGCTTTGCAGGAGCTAATTAATATTATAGTAGTGTGTATAAAAGTATGAGAAAGTCGCCCTCTTAACATTGTCTTTAATACCTTAGCCAGACATAGCTACAGATGTTTTCCAGTACGGCACAGTAAGCATTGAGTAACTAAATAGGAAAAGCCAAATTCTTCTGGAGATGTTGATTTGCTAGTACAACACACACTCAATAGATTTATTTTGAACACGATCCCTTGCTAAGTTTTCTGGACTGTCATCTGAAAAGGTGATCATAGTATTTTTGTATTTGGCTACATAACTGTAATAGCTGCTGTAAGAGCATCACACCATCTCAGTCTCACAATCTTATAGGATAATCACAGAACCATAGAATCAAAGAATATCTTGTGTTGGAAGGAACTATCGAGTCCAACTCCACTGCTATCCCAGGTTTTTCTTACACTTAAACAGGTCCACCTAATTCAATGATATGCTATTTCTTTTTAGAAAAGGTAGTTTCCTTTCCTTGAAGGGTGAATCTTGGCCTCCCCATTAGTTTTTCAAAATTATAACATTATGACACTGTATTAAAGTGGTAGGAATCTACTGACTAAAAAAGGCGGAGAACTTGTAGTTCACCAGCATGCATCATGTACAGTGGAAAAGTACCATCTCCATGTCTTCATGGTTTGCCTCACAGAAGTAGAACTGTTTACAACAACAGAAAGGAAAGCAATATCTCAGATCGTTTTCCTTTCTGTTGTTGTAAACAGTACTACTTTTGTAGTAGTAATTAAGCATTTTACCCTAATGGAAATTACTTGATTCACTTGTTCAGAATAACTGACCTTACGCAAATATTCCTGTACTTTTCTGGATACAGAATTTAAAGAGATATTTGTCATCCTTTCAAGTAAGTATAAGCATCATAGTTAAGGCAGTGAGCCTTAACTATGTAAACTAGTGTGAATTATGTGTTTTTAACAGCATCTTGTACAGCAGGAAAAAAAATACCATGAAAGAAAATAAATATATTCATTTGGTCCTATTCTTATTTGGGTATATCAGCAGTCCTTGCTGCTTCCCAACTAACTTCAGTGGCAAGCTTCTATCAAATCTAGGGTGGAAGCTAAGGATGTTTAACTGATCTACAAGTCAAAACAGGCTGATAAAAAAGCAACTTGTTCTGGGTTGGATCTACAAACAAGACATGCAAATTGCTGAGAGTTTGTGAGTGAAATGAGTGTGTCCCACTAAGACTTCAAAGACCCAGAACACTCTTTAACTCTGGATCAGTACTTGGGTAGTGCTGAGCAACATACCATTTTCTAGGGAGAGTGTCCTACTCACTCCATGCAAATTCAGCAACTATTAAAGTAGCAAAGCCTGTTTAAGTAAATTAAATAAAGCTTATTTAAGTAGATCTCAAACAACTCAAAACTCTCCTGCCACAAAGGCAGCAGGTTTTTTTTGATGCTCTGAGAGAGAATTAGATCCAGCACCCCTGAAAGCTAGAGAGCCTGGATCTTTGCTCCAGCCATTCATTGGTAGTGAAATCTGTTGACACATTAATGTCACATCTTCTGAAACACTCTGACTGATGTGAGTGGTTGGTCTATGTTCCCCAATGCATAAGTCAAACCAGCACAAAAGTTCCCCTGCTAAAAGACATATATTCATTCATTTATAATCTCCCCTGGTCTTGTCCTGGAGGAGTGTACAAACAAATAAACAACAGGATGAACTCATACTGCTTTGCTTTGGATTTCCCTAAGGTTTGTTTGTTGACCTATCCCTAGCCCCCCATCAAGAACTCATTTCTTCATCCAGTCAAATATTGCCCGTGGGGCAGAAGCAAGGTTTGCTACATGCTATCCCTTACGTTGGACGATACTGCCAATTGTTTGTTGGTGTTCATTCTTCCCGGCACCTTGACGAGTGCACTTGTGTGTGGAAGAGGAAGCAACAGAGGGTCAGGAGAGAGAACAGAGGGATATTTGATGTATTTTTTTCTAATTGTGCCTCAACAGCTGTGCCGTTGACTGGTCTAAGTCAGAATCTTGTGTAGCCTATGCTCTAATGTCATAAGCAGGTAGCATTGTTCCCACGCTCAAAGTATTAAAAAAAAGGTATTTCTTTTTGTGAGCTGAGCCCATGAATGGTGTGTACATCTAGATCCAAACTCTGAAAAATGCTGTGGGAACACTGTGTGGAGTTTGTTACAAGCCAGGCTCACAAAGCAGGAGCAAAAGGGGAAGTGGTTTATTGAATAATATTTGCTGAGCATTTTTCATTGTGAGAGCTTTCCAGCCCAGCCATGTCATCACTTCTGTACTTCAGCTCTTCCAGCCCACAGTAGACCTACTTCATGGACAGTAGAGTTCAGCTAGTTGTGAGCTGCCAGATATGAATTTTCATTTTAATTTTCAATTTCTTTCAATAAAGAAACATGACAGAAGACCTATTACAGGCACTGGGCAGATTTTTCTTGGTTTTGTCTCAGATAAACTTTGGCACCTTGTATGAGTTCTGGGCCTCTCCCCAAGGCATTCCTTTGTCTCCAAAGTGCCTAAGCCACTCTGAACAGACTCAAAAGCAGGCACTCCCCCCTCCCTTGTGCCCGTTCTTTCTCCTTCCCCCTCCCACCCTGCACTACAAACATGGTGCACAAGACCTTTGGCTGATGTATAGGTGTGAGAAGCATTGTCAGACACTATCCCCCTCAGGACACAAGCAGGCATTGAAGCACTTGAACAAGACCAAAGATAAGTATGGTTCATTCTTTGGATTCTGAATTTCTCTTTGTCATTCCATGCCATTGTTTCATTTGTGTTGCTGGTCTGTTCAATCTCAGGTAAATGAGGTCTTTTTTTCTTTTTTTTCTTTTCTTTCTGCCCCTCCTCCCCCCCCCCCCCCTCCTCCCCCCTCCGCCCTGTTCTTTTTTTTTGGGGGGGGGGGGGTTGGATTTTTTTTTTTTTTTTTTTTTTTGGTTGTTTGTTTCAGGTGGCAGGTGTTGATTAGTTTTAATTTACACAGAAATGTTGGTGGCTAGAAACTGCAGCCATTTTCCTTTGCAGTTCCAAGACCCTTCTGGTTACCAACAAATTCAAGGGGCCTCCATCTTTTGGAGGGCAAATGAGTTTGCCACTGACCTTTGCGAACTCATACCTATCTTTAGAGAAAGCCATATGAAATCAGACTGCAATATTAATTATGAATGATACTCGTGTTTAAAATAAATAAAATGAGATACAAGATCATGTGCTAGATCACTCTGGAGTTCCTCAGTCTATGTTTCTAGTACCATATGTTGGCTTATGTCCTTCCTAGCCCCTTTCCTTCATCAAAAAACACCACACCAATGCTGCTTAGTACATCCTTTTGCCAAGCTTACTGTGCTAGAATAAGCGTTGTTAGAAAGCAGCTGTTGTGACCTCAAAGTAATGTCTAATGTATCTGAAACCTGTCTGTATTCAATCTGAATATGTTATCAAGATACTGTTTCTTCATGTGCTGAGTTAGTAAAATGTTTCAATACTGACATTAAAATATTGCTTGTTTTCTCTCTCTGTTCTCCACTGTTGCCCACACACATGCACAGAGCAGAAGTCAATCTAACAATGCATTTTCTAGTAGAAATACTTCTTTAAGATGCATGCAGTACTCTCCAAAAAGCAGCCAGAAGATTATTTGAAGTATAAACCTTGTGAATGTAAATTTTGTTATTTGCCTGCTACTTCTTCCTGCATGATGTAGATAAATGATATGATGTTCTTTTAAAATGGAATCACAGACAATAAAAAAAAAAAAATAAAAAAAAAATTCATACATTTTGCAATGCTTTCCTATGAAATTCCTACACAAGGAAATGAAAGTAATGCTGTTTGAGGTTATGGATAGAATGGAAACATATCTGAGGAGAAACATGGACATTCTGTGATTATTTTAATACTGATAAGAGCTGGCATCTACAGATGATTACCATAAATTTTAAATAAGTTTTGCTATTAGGAATTAGTTTCCTTTAGGAGGAACAGAACAGAAAACCATTCCTTGAAACAAACTACAGGAATGTAACAATGTGCAAACATATTTGAATCTTAAAAGCGTAAAAAGCTGATTTGCAATGGTATCAAATTTTTCACTAGATCCAGAACATGCGATACGCATAAAATTCATGGAGTGACAAGCTGAACACAGATAGTCCTCATTTTACTTCTTCAGGGATGAGTCAGAAGTTGAAATGTTGATCATAAAAGCATTGCATCATTGTGGAAAAAGAAAGTAAAATAAACATCTCATGTAAGAAATGTTGATACTCTTTCCCCTGGGAAAACTCTCCTTTGAGAACAATGTACATATGATAATTTTTATCTTATTTTTATTTTTTGTTTATTTTATTTTTTTTATCAGGAAAAGCAGCCACAGGGGTCTTTTATAGAGCATAAACCTATATTATTTACATCCCATAATACCTACCCAGACTTTGAGCCCAGCATTGCTATAATGAGGACACACTAATGTCACTGCCACCT